TCTTTATTTTGCTGATTGCTTCCCCATGACACCACTAATTATGTTCCTCTGAGCCTGGATTTTATATCAGGAACAAGGAGGTGGTCAATGATTTTGGGGGGGGGGGGGTTATGTCAGAAGACAGGAACAGTGGCTGAGGATGTATGTAATATTTTGAGCATCAAATAAAATAAGTATATAAATAACTGCAGCATAATGTTCATGGTTCATAGTAAAGCTCCAAAAATAGATTCATTGATCACCTCTGGAGGATACTAGGGAAACAACTTTTTATTTCAAAAATAAAGAATCGAGCATCTATTCTGTGTTACATCTATTCCTGTATGTACTGTATCTTGGGGTAACCAAAAAATTGATGAGAAAAAATCCTGCTCATAAATGAAGAAGAAATGGAAAGATTAAAACATTGTCAGTGGTCTGGGGCAGTGGCTCAGTGGTAGAGCGCTTGCCTAGCATGTGTGAGGCACTGGGTTTGATTCTCAGCACTGCATATACATAAATAAAATAAAGGTCCATTGACAACTAAAAAATATTTTAAAAAAACATTGCCACTTTGCAACCTGTAATGAAATCAGTATATAAGCCATGATTATCAATGATTGCCAAAAACCACAGCTGAAAAACTGATGAGGAAGTTTATAATGGACATACCAAGTTGACAGTATCTGAACCTGCTAATCCATCTCAACTTCAYGGAAAAAGAGGCCACCAGTTATTTATGTGCAGTTGGTGTGACACTAGGAAGTCCGCAGCCCATGAAGCAGTCAGGCCAAAAATCAATTCTGAACCTGACCAAGCCTCTACTTGTAACTACCAGCTTAAAGATACTTTGCACTATTTTTCCCCCCACAATGAGCAAATGCTAAATAAAAAGGCCATCAGAAATCTTTACATGTCTAGGTATCTCTTAATTGTGGGTGTGGGAAAACAGTCCCAGTAAGTAAATGCTCCCCCCCCTCCCAGTTATAAACCATCAGTCTGAGGTAGGAACAGCTCTGAGTACGAGTCAAAATTGCAGAACAAATGGGGCTTTGGACTTTGGGATAGCATGGTTTATTTGTTTGTTTATTTGATCATGATGTTGCTTTAGGCATCCCGCCCCCCCCCCCAGGTATGGAACCCAGAGCTTCCAGAGGACTAGGTAAGCACTCTACCACTGAGCTACTCCTCCAGCCCAAGAGGCTGTTTAATCCTCATCTATAAAGTGAACCTGTTTTCACACGTGAACTGGCTTTCAAATATGAGGTCCATGTGTTCAAGAAAATGATGATTCATAGCATGGAAATGGCATAAAGACCAACAGAATAGAATAGAAGACATAGAGACAAATACAGATACAGACATCCATCCGATCCTTAACAAAGTTGCCAAAAACGTGTTGGAAAAAAAGACAGTAAAAAAGGTATCAGGGGCTGGAGATGTGGCTCAAGCAGTAGCACGCTCGCCTGGCATGCGTGCGGCCTGGGTTCGATCCTCAGCACCATATAC